CGCAGATGTATCCATGAAAGTACATTACCTTACATATAACCCGATGAGAATGTGTTGCAAATCAATTAATTTTTCTTTTGTGTGACCTTTAATAGATGATCCAGCCATGCATATAACTTCAAAATAGCTCACATAGAAGATTTTAAGTTAGCAAAATCCGCGAAGTTAACAGAACAAGTAACATGAATGTGTAACAAAGTTGCTGAGATTATGTTTTGCAGACCGTTATGCATCATAGTGTTTGTCACGGAGCTGTTGCACATTCAGTGTAGGAATGCGTGCCTGTACACTCCCATCATGCTCAAGTCCTAAGAGGTTGCCTCTGTGTGGTGGCACGGCGCTGCAGAGATGGCAGGTGAAATGTTTAACAAAAAAAATCCGAAATTCCTAAAATTGTAACACCCAGATTTGTTTGTTGCGAGTTAATGAGAATGTAAGGTAATGGTGCCAGTTTAACTTAAAGCATGCATACCCCATTCGTGTAAGTGGTCATTATTCAGTAATATTTTTTTCCGAAGCAACGTTGTATGTTTGAGCTATGATAGTTCAAGGAATAAATGCTCACACAGCTTGGTAGGCAAAAGTTTATGCTTACATAAATCATAGGATAATTTGTTTTTGTTATATGGACATGTCAACCCTAAATTCTGCAAATGTTAAATAAACGTAAAAAAGTCTGTATTTGATTGAAACATGCTTTCTAGCATATATTTGTTTATATGTTTGTCAAAAAAGTTATTTCAAGAATGCTCTTGGAAATATAATCTAACATCAAATAAATGACAACCAGCGAAAACATTAAAAAAAGAGAACTTTGCGTCTTTGCATGTTAATGATGTAAAATAATTTAAAACTTCAACACCAGAAAATAATCAGTCTCTCTTATCTGCAGATACAGATTCTATGGGGCATTAAAGGGACAATAGTGATGAGTATATGGAATGGATCACTGAAAATCAGTGATGACCCAGATGTTCGCAAAAAGGAATGAGATTGGTCCGGGGTTTAATCAAGAATACGATTATCATTTGGCTTGATTATATTGATAATGTCATACATTGATACCCCTCACATTGATCATGCAATACTGATAATGCGATGCTTTCATACTCCTTATATTGATAATGTAATACTTTGATACTTCTTATATTGATAATGTAATACTTTGATACTTCTTATATTGATAATGCAATACTTTGATGCTTCTAATATTGATAAGGCAATACATTGATACTTCTTATGTTGATAATGTAATACATTGATACTTCATATATTGGCCGACACATAATTATGCTGTTTCTTAAAAAGTGCAGCTGGCTGCATTAGGGGAATATAGCTTTATACAGTGCTCCATGTATTTACGGAAATTTCACATGTGTGGTATTTAGGCAGGCCTTCCCACTTCACATTAACGAAGTTTATAGCAAAAATGAATAGAATTATCATTAAACCGCCCGCATGTTATCAGAAATGAGCGGACCACTATAACTTGATAATGCCCTCATATTACTTGACGACGGGCCATTATCACCCCCGTTGTTAGGTGACGTCATAGGATAGGGATAGGTGACGTCACGTTCAATAGTGACGTCATCTGGTTTGTTCTATGACGTTTCCATATTTGTAAAAGTGGGTCAGTGACATTCGTGTTGATTGCAGTATTTGTTTCAAAACCGATATTGTTGTTTCTTTTTATTTGATAACAAATTCCATCCATTTTAGCTATAATAACGGTAACGCTATTTTTCAGGGCATTATCATTTGCAGAAGCCCTCGATCTTTTCAACTGCCCTCCTTCGTCGGGCACTTAATGGAAGACCTCGCGCTTCTGCAAATGATAATGCCCTGAAAAATAGCGTTACCCTTATAATATTGCATCGTCCATCAATAACACATATGTAATGTACTGGACTGAAATATGAGGAGGGCTGATTTAATGGTTTTGTGTCAGTTGCAGCTGTGTCTCCGTCTGCAGCTGATACTTTGCTATAATATCCTTTTATATGCACATTAATAACACCGACTGGGAAAGCCTTTAAGCCAACGCAAGTCGTCAGTAATATGTCAATTTCATCACCTGGCAACAAGGGCCCCACTCCTAATATGTAGGTAAATAAATATTTGAGTGAGTGAGTGAGTTGGGTTTAACGCCACTTTTAACAGTATTCCAGTTATATCACGGCGTGTCAGTTTGATGTGGGAGGAAAGCCCGAAGTGATGCAGGTCTCACACGTACCACTTCGGTGAAAACCACGAGCACGGGTATGGTGCTGACAAACCTAGAAACATAATCGGGGCGAATCGGGATTCGAACCCACAATCATAGGTTTCTGGCGTGCCCAAGGGACGCCACTCTGACAGAGAATCGCGGCGCCTTAGACGACTGGGCCACCCGTGCCCCCTTTATACACACGTTCAAGCTTGCTGTATCAAATAGAACCCTCAAGTGTATTTTGCCGTCTTCGTAATCTACGTTTTCAGTTTCAAAACATATTTTCAGTCGACAGGTCTTGCAACACGATCTCATACAGTCCAGTGTGACGCCCATTACTGCACAATGGACCTATTTTCTAAACCGGAAGTGTATCTGCGCTGAAATGACTCAATCTTAAAACATTTCCGGTTTCTGCAGATGTAATGTAAACAGGCTGAAACCACTCGAGCTGTGGCTGACATGGACAAGGAAGTCCTGAATACAAAAGCAATGCTCGTGCGGGCGGCTGTACGCAATATAAGATTCGGGGTCATCTCAAAAGTTTACAGTCCTGTTTAAAGAGCCTTTTCACATCGGCCGAGTTTTTTTTCAACTCAAGAGTACCATCTTCCCAAGGCAAGGTAGTTAACTGACTTTAAAAGTCCAGTTTCCACCCTTGTCGAACTAGACGGGAATTTCTGGGCTCGAGTGGCTATTACGACTTATGTGCCTTCTATGTTTTCCCCCACTGACCAATAAGATTCCACCTCTCATTGATAGGGCGGTCGGGTAGCCTAGTGGTTAAAGCGTTCGCTCGTCACGCCGAAGACCCGGGTTCGATTCCCGACATGGGTACAATGTGTGAAGCCCATTTCTGGTGTCCCCCGCCTTGATATTGCTGGAATATTGCTAAAAGCGGCGTGAAATCATTCTCACTCACTCACAATGATAATGAAGGTCTTTGTTGTAATATAACGGGGTTTACCTCGAGACGTGCATCATATCACTTGAGCACCTTGACTGGAAGCATGAAAAGATTTGTAAAATCTCCGTCGACGCTTAATTGACGGTACACATGCTCGGCAAATTCTGCAGTCGAACGAATCTGACACAGCCATGTTGATAATGAACCGGATATCGATTTAGTTATGGGATTTTGATTGGACTATGCATGGACTCGTTAGTCCAGCCAATTTATAACCCCATAATTCCAGCCAAGTTCGGCAATGGTGGAAACTGGACTTTTAAAGTCAGTTAACTCCCTTGCCTCGGGAAGATGTTGTCGTACATGTTTACTAATATTTCAATATGAGTGTGTTTCACATCTTTATGGAGTGACAGATAACGGTTATACTTTCAGTTCAGAGTGTTTTTTTGTTGTTTACCGCCGCACCCGGCAATTTTCCAGCTATATGACGGCTGCCTTTAAATAATTGAGTATGGACAGACAATCCAGTGATTGATATTGTGAGCAACTATCCACGGTGTCGGGATACGCACAGTCAACCAAATCAGCGAGTCTGGCCACCCGATCTCGATAGTCTCCTTTTACGACAAGCATAGTCGCCTTTTACGGCAAGCATGGGTTGCTGAAGACCTATTCTACCCCGGATCTTCACAGGTCGTTGATGCACGCATGTGTGTGTGGCTGTTTGTACTGGTCTGGGCAAATACCCGTTTTATAGTACTAGCCAGGTAATGGAACCACCGACCTTCGCTCTCGGGGCATAAGCTCCACGAGTGAGTGAGTGAGTATGGTTTTACGCCGCTTCTAGCAATATTCCAGCAATATAACGGCCTACAATGCAAGACAGTGGTGTTTTACCAACAGGGAACCATGCTTGTAGTAAGAGCCCAATCACAATGAATAACCCGGCTGATTGTTTATCACCGACGCCATCACCTGGCTGCGTTTGCGTACATTGTTGCCCATGCTATCAACCACTGGCTTATAAAATACAGCTTCAATGAAATACATACTGACGTGATATACCTGTAATATTGCTGACACGCAGAGATCAACAATCTTTCGGTAAAGACATTTTTTAATCAATATATACTACTCAAATGAAGTTAAAGAACACCCGATTCTGTCATATTACTGTTGTTAATAGGGGCGGTCGGGTAGCCTAGTGGTTAAAGCGTTCGCTCATCACGCCGAAGACCTGGGTTCGATTCCCGACGTGGGTACAATATGTGAAACCCATTTCCGATGTCCCCCGCCGTGATATTGCTGGAATATTGCTAAAAGCGGCGTAAAACCTTACTCACTCACTCACTATGGTTAATCTGTCATTGATATAGTCATATGAACAAATCAGGTGTTCTTAACTTCTTTTGAGAAGTATGTATTGCGTGCTGTTTTGTAAATGTATTCAATATGTTTGTTGTGTTTGATCTATTGTGAGAGAAAGAAGGAGAAATTAATCTGACAGTCTCAGTTGGCAACTAACGGGATCGGGTGGTCAGACTCGCTGACTTGGTTCATACATGACATCGTATCCCAGCTGCGTAAACCAATGCTCATGATTTCATTCACAGGATTGTCTGGTCCAGACCCGATTATTCACAACCCACCCATACATGAAATGACAAGCTCACCATTGTCCACTCTTGATATTGGACAATAAATCCCACTTTTTAATGTAATCTAATTGAAAGCACATACTTTTATCTCGTTGATATTGTTGCACAAGCTGGCGGGTCACCACTGTTCGCTGACAACGGCGCCATTCCACGTGCATTGTAATCAAATCCAATACCAGCCGTTTCACATTACGGTGAACATGGTGACGAAAACAATCGCCCGAACGCAACCGATAAACGCGTTGGAACGCCCCGATTGTTGAGGCTAACTTTACCTGTGATTTGAAGCATTATTTGTGGATGTTTCGCCATACCGCACACAAGCCAACGCAAACAGATCGATTCTGTTTCACCAGCATGGGAGGTTATTTATTTCAAACATTCCCCCACAAGGCTAAAGGGCTGCCGCAAACGTGACCGACTTTAATGCGGCAACATGCGACAAGGGTCGTATGTGTCAATCGGCTTTCTTCCATGACCGCAGTAGTATACACGGGATGTGTCTCGGTAAGTATAGAAGCCTATGGATAACACAGAAACCTTGTATTAGAGTCTGAATCGTATCTAATAATGTTAACGTGTCGCTAGTTGTTTGACATTGTTGTCGGTGTGGGGTTGTTACTGTGTATTTCATTATTTGTTTTCATTTATGTCTGGACAATTAATACCAAACTAGTAAAAGTCAATCCGTGTCTGAAAATTATTTTAATTTGGTTGAATATAAAGTTTGTGTTCGTCATTCGGGTTTATAAGGGTTTGGATATGATGTGTTGCAGATGTATCCTATATGGTGGGTGTATGTGTTGTATGCCGGCCGGGAAAGTGGGTGTGGCGGTGCGTGTTCAAATATGTATTGGAGGGGGGGGGGGGGGGGGGGGGGGGGGGATGTTTCCATCATAGGAGAAAGTTCTGTAAATTTCTATAAAATGAGTGATGGTCATGCTTTAACAATCTAGTTTGGGTGTGCGGACTGATTGAGCCAAGCTGTTGCATGTGTTGCGTATAACTAACGTCCAACAAACACCGACATCACAATGTCATACAAGTCCCGTGTCTTATAGTAGGGGGTGGTTAGTGTCTCAAACGTACCACCTAGTGAGTTAGTGAGTAAATTGGGTTTGAAGCTGCCTTTAGTCATGAACACATCAACATCACCACCTCATTTAGAGAGGGACTATCATTTTACGTTTGTTTACCTTTTAGCATAGATATTGATGTCTTAATACCTATTGTAAACTGATACGGTGAGTGAGTGAGTGAGTATGGTTTGACGCCGCATTTAGCAATATTCCAGCAATATCACGGCGGGGGACACCAGAAATGGGTTTCACACATTGTACCCATGACAGGAATCGAACCCGGGTCTTCTGCGTGACTGACGAGCGAACGCTTTAACCACTAGGCTACCCGACCGCCCCTATACGACTCTATGAGTGAGTGAGTGAGTGGAATTTTACGCCGTTTTCAACCGCTTTTCCAGCAATATCACGGTGTGGATACCAGAAATGGGCTTCACACATTACGCCCCCACACCTGTATGAGTTTAGGTGGACCGAGTCTATCCCTACGTGAAATCAATGCGAACAAATATTGTTATCAGTGTAAGGTGAACTGTGTGAACTGGCAGTATATAGTATATTTGGTGAACGAAACGTTGTCCACAGGTAAGGGTATCTACGTATTTCGTTCGATACTTGAAAAAGGCTACAATCACGCCCCCGCCCCCGCCCCCGCCCCCGCCCCTCGAACACCGCATCTTGACTATATATATGACTCCAAACAAAAGAAAGAACACCCACAGCCATGCCTGATTACCTGTAGTCATATCTAAAAATCGCGTTGGAGCCATTCTTGTTAAGCATGTTATCAAAGAAAATAGACGAATGTTTACTATAGAAAGAATTCGTGAACTGGAAATTATGCATAACATAGGGAGAAGAGCAGGCATCGATAAAACGCTTCGGTTGTTTCCATTATGTAACGTACATGTAATTAAAAGAGAAATTCATTTCGTAACGGCATGTCCCGCATTTGTTATTATTCAAAATTATTAAAAATATTTCCCATTTTTCATTGTCTATACTTATGCTAATCGAAGGCATAGTTTGATAACAATGCTGCAGTCCTCCTATGTCAGCGTTCTAAAACATTTATCAAATTACTTAAAACTTTCTTTGAGGGGCATTTAGAAGTTGGAGTACGAAGTAAGGATAATACATAGTGAGTAACAACTTCTAAATTACAATATTCATAGCGACGTTTCGGTTCTAAGCTACACTCGCTTGCTTGATAACGGTGTTATAGAACCTACACCGAAACGTCACTTGCTTGATAACGGTGTTATAGAACCTACACCGAAACGTCACTTGCTCGATAACGGTGTTATAGAACCTACGCCGAAACGTCACTTGTTTGATAACGGTGTTATAGAACCTACACCGAAACGTCACTTGCTTGATAACGGTGTTATAGAACCTACGCCGAAACGTCACTTGTTTGATAACGGTGTTAAATATAGTGTTCTTGTTGTACGTGGGCCTGATGCCTTAATACTTAACTAAATGATTGCAGATATAAATAAAGTATTTTAGTATAAAAGGGAGACTCTACTCAGGCTAAGTGGCATTCCTGGCATATTTAGCTCATGTCGTTGAACCACTATATAACTATCTGTTTATCCAACACAGTTTGCTGTAAGTAACAGTTAATGAGTATCTCGACTTCATTGTGATAATGACTCAGTTTCATGGCGCTAATTACGATAGCTGAGATAGGCTCTTGACCGTGGAGCACAGTCTCCCGTTACGGGGTCCGTCCCTCGCGTGCTGTTGAGTCGTAGAGCTTGTAACCTAGTACGAACGTTTATTTATACTGTGTTCCGTCATGGAGTATGTGATACCTCAGGAATCAACATGTATTGTTTAAGACACAATATCACTCACTGGGGTAACTGCGTATGGATACAATGATAAGTGGACTGTCCTATTTTTGTCATCTAGTGTCAACTGAGAGAGGTCATGTTAGTTTACAGGAACACTTACACATTGGGACGTTAGGCAATGGTTTATTGCATCGTTAACACTAATGGTATCTGTTATAAGACAATGCGTGTTATCGTGTGATGCTGTATGATATAGGTTGAAGGTTAGTGTAGCTGGGTTAAGGGTGGTTGATTTTGTCTCTGTTGCTTGATGTCGGGACGCCTGTGTATGTATATGTATGTCACTGTCTGAGTATTAACGTGTCTCTGCAAATGTCTGTATGTCTTCCTAAGAGTGTAAATGTGCCTGTCTTTAGGGGCGAAAATGTGTCCCATCAAAGCCTGTAAATGTGTAAATCGCAATGTAAATATATCACCTGAGCGTATAATTGTGTCCATCTAAGTCTAGGTGTAAATATGTCCCATCTTAGAATAAATATGTCTAAACGTGTAAATGTGTCTAAGTATAAATATGTCCCATCTAAGTGTGTAAATGTATCCATCTAAGCGTGTAAATGTGTCTAAGTGTAAATATGTCCCATCCTAGTATGTAAATATGTCTATGCGTGTAAATGTGTCTAGGTGTAAATATGTCCCATCTTAGTGTGTAATATGTCTAAACGTGTAAATGTGTCTAAGTGTAAATATGTCCCATCTTAGTGTGTAAATGTATCCATCTAAGCGTGTAAATGTGTCTAAGTATAACTATGTCCCATCTAAGTGTGTAAATATGTCTATTCGTGTAAATGTGTCTAGGTGTAAATATGTCCCATCTTAGTGTGTAAATATGTCTATTCGTGTAAATGTGTCTAGGTGTAAATATGTCCCATCTTAGTGTGTAAATATGTCTATGCGTGTAAATGTGTCTAAGTGTAAATATGTCCCATCTTAGTGTGTAAATATGTCTATGCGTGTAAATGTGTCTAAGTGTAAATATGTCCCATCTTAGTGTGTAAATGTATCCATCTAAGCGTGTAAATGTGTCTAAGTATAAATATGTCCCATCTTAGTGTGTAAATGTATCCATCTATGCGTGTAAATGTGTCTAAGTGTAAATATGTCCCATCTTAGTGTGTAAATATGTCTATGCGTGTAAATGTGTCTAAGTGTAAATATGTCCCATCTTAGTGTGTAAATATGTCTATGCGTGTAAATGTGTCTAAGTGTAAATATGTCCCATCTTAGTGTGTAAATGTATCCATCTAAGCGTGTAAATGTGTCTAAGTATAAATATGTCCCATCTTAGTGTGTAAATGTATCCATCTATGCGTGTAAATGTGTCTAAGTGTAAATATGTCCCATCTTAGTGTGTAAATATGTTTATGCGTGTAAATGTGTCTAAGTGTAAATATGTCCCATCTTAGTGTGTAAATATGTCTATGCGTGTAAATGTGTCTAAGTGTAAATATGTCCCATCTTAGTGTGTAAATATGTCTATGCATGTAAATGTGTCTAAGTGTAACTATGTCCCATCTTAGTGTGTAAATATGTCGATACGGGTAAATGTGTCTAAGTGTAAATATGTCCCATCTTAGTGTGTAAATATGTCTATGCGTGTAAATGTGTCTAAGTATAAATATGTCCCATCTTAGTGTGTAAATATGTCGAAACGTGTAAATATGTCTAAGTGTAAATATGTCCCATCTTAGTGTGTAAATATGTCTATGCGTGTAAATGTGTCAAGGTGTAACTATGTCCCATCTTAGCGTGTAAATGCATCCTAAGCGTGTAAATATGTCAATTTAAGCGTGTACATGTGTTCATATAAGCGTGTAAATGTGTCGATTTAAGCGTATAAATGTGTCGATCTAAGCATGTAAATGTGTCGATCTAAGCGTGTAAATGTGTCGATCTAAGCGTGTAATATGTCTATGGCTGTAAATTTGTCCGTCTAAACATATAAATGTGTCCATCTTAACGTAAATCTGTGTAAATATGTCCATCTAAGCGTGTAAATGTGTTTATACTTGTCAATGGGGGGTTTCAGTATTGAGGCTCTGCAAGTTGCTTTGCAGCGTTGCGCCCCTCAGGCCTGCCGAAATCCTACATATTGGAAAATGAATTGTTCCAAAAAATCATGCGAGAAAATGCCTCAGGTTTTATAAGAAAAATAGTTAATTGCATGTGAAAATAAAAACCTAATGCTCGTCCTTTAAACATGTCCTATGTCTTGTAGAAGTGACCGTCTCTAACATTAAACCCAAATTCATCCCAAATTTCAATTCAGTTATTGAGTTACATATCGCCTGTAAAAATATGAGAAACACCTTTCTCTTTAGGACTCACATTGATCACTTAAAAACGTAGCATTCTTTACTGTGCATGTCGATTAAGGAATCAATAACGTAGGTTTATTTGTTATTTAACGCCGCACTCAGCAATATTCCATCTATAAGACGGCGGTCTGTAAATAATCGTGTCTAGACCTGACAATACACTGACTGACATCATGAGCATCGATCCATGCAGTTGGGATATGATGACATGCATCAACCAAGTCAGCGAGTCTTGACCACCCGATCCCGTTAGTCGCCTATTAGGACAAGCATAGTCGCCTTTTGCGGCAAGCATGGGCTGCTGGAGATCTATTCTAACCCGGATCGTCACGGGCTTCAGACTGCAGCATGTTGCCAGAACGAAGCATGTGACGAGGAAAAACAGCTTGTGCTTAATCGATGGTGAATATTCAATATCTCAAATAAGGATATTGGTTGACACATGTCGGCGTTTGTACAAGGTACACTAAAAACACAATTTTTGGCCCAGGATTATAATTAGTCCCGTAGCCGGTAAGAGGTGGCGCACTGTTTTCTTGAACACTCACCCTATAGTGGAAGCAGTGTAATGGCCCTGAACAGGGATGGTAACTCATGGTAGTCCGAATCACGACCTCGAGGTGGCAATCAATTTGCAGCATTCGGCAGTTCTTTTGCTTTTCGGTATACATTAGGATCATCCCATTTACCATATAATTCTGTTTTGGGTTGATTTGTTTCCATGCATCGTGTAATTTGGGATGGGTTGATATGGAGCAATAGCAATTAGGTTGAGAGTCATGTTAAGCAGTGTACACAGTGTTACCATTGAAGTAAGATTGCGTGATTTGTCGATAAGGCATTGCGTGCATACAAACACGAAAGCTTCGTGGGTAACTGAACAATGTGTTGATAAAGTATATTGCTTCGCGACCTGGGTGTGTTGCGTTTAGGTTTTCTGATTACAGACCAGACGGTCTTTAAATATTTGTCCACGATTATCACCTGACAAGCTGTGTTGTCAGTAGACAGACATGTTCAGTGATCGTTCGGTACAGAATAGGGCCTTGTCTACATGGTAATCAAAGGGAATCAGACCCGTGAAGATCCGGGTTAGAATAGGTCTTCAGAAACCCATGCTTGCCGTAAAAGGCGACTGAGCTTGTAAGAGGCGACTAACGGGATCGGGTGGTCAGGCTCGCTGATTTGGTTGATGCATGTCATCGTAATCCTAATTGCGTAGATCGATGCTCATGGTGGTATTTACATACCACCATAATACAGCTGGAATATTGCTGAGTGTGTCGATAAGCAACAAACAAACAAACTTGGTGGTTCCCTGCCTAGCGCTCGGCATTAAGGCTTTCAGGGGACAAAACAAGCACTGGTCGACTTGGAGTCAGTTTTGTGGGAGTGGGGTATCCATGTTAAACTGCGGCATGGTATCTCAGTGGATTTGCATTATAAAACACTCACAAACACAATTGCAAGCACGTCACCATAAAGGTGCTTGCAATATTGAACGTGACGTTAAACCCCATTTCGCCGCCATTACTTCATGTACTCCGGCAGGTTGAGTATGCAGAGGATAATAGATAACACCTGTTGCATTGTCGTGATCGTCACTCCGATAATTCATAGCAAATTTAGAATTCTATCGATCTTTCCTGTTATTTTTGCATTTCAAAATAATGAATTCTATCACATTTTGCCACATATTGTAAGAGCAGAACCTTAACCCTTCCGCACGTCACCGCGTTGGATCCAATAATGAAGATAAATCGCCTGATATGACACAAATACTCATTATCTCTGAAACCCCGGCATATGTGCCTGTATATTGGAAGTATGCATAAATTCATAAACTTTTTCCGGACACGTGTATCGAACTATGTTAAAAATTACATGATACATAACCAGACATTTTGCTTTTGTTTATTTTTCATGCAGCTTGTGTAAATATGTCGACCGTCGCTAAGCAACCCATGTTGCTAACTAGCTTGCCCTGCCAGACAAATATTATTGCAACATATTGAGCCTGGGTGCCGTTGAACAAAGCGATCTTATGAGGTGATAGTAAATCCTATACCTCAACATGGACATACGTCAGTCGTAGTGCTAAGGTTGATCTGACAAAGGCACCCTGGGCAAATATTGTTGCCAAGCTGATCATCCGCAGTAAAGCGCCACTTAGCCATCCATCCGTTGTGAAGCGCAACTTAGCCATCCGCTGTAAAGCGCCACTAAGCCAACCGCTGTAAAGCGCTATTAAGCCATCCGCTGTTAAGCACCACTAAGCCATCCGCTGTAAAGCGACACTAAGCCAACCGCTGTAAAGCGCCACTAAGCCAACCGCTGTAAAGCGCCACTAAGCCAACCGCTGTAAAGCGCCACTAAGCCATCCGCTGTAAAGCGCTATTAAGCCATCCGCTGTTAAGCACCACTAAGCCATCCGCTGTAAAGCGACACTAAGCGATCCACTGAAAAGCGCCACTAAGCCATCCGCTGTAAAGCGCCACTAAGCCAACCGCTGTAAAGCGCCACTAAGCCAACCGCTGTAAAGCGCCACTAAGCCATCCGTTGTAAAGCGCTATTAAGCAATCCGCTGTTAAGCACCACTAAGCCATCCGCTGTAAAGCACCACAAAGCCATCCATCCGTTGTAAAGCGCCACTAAGCCAACCGCTGTAAAGCGCTACTAAGCCAACCGCTGTAAAGCGCCACTAAGCCATCCGCTGTAAAGCGCTATTAAGCCATCCGCTGTTAAGCACCACTAAGCCATCCGCTGTAAAGTGACACTAAGCGATCCACTGAAAAGCGCCACTAAGCAATCTGTTGTAAAGCGACACTAAGCCATCCGCTGTAAAGCACCTCAAAGCCATACGCTGTAAAGCACCACTAAGCCATTCGCTGTAAAGCGACACTAAGCTATCCGTTGTATAGCGACACTAAACCATCCGCTGTAAAGCACCACAAAGCCATCCGCTGTAAAGCCATCCGTTGTAAAGCGACACTAAGCCATCCGCTGTAAAGCGACACTATGTGTAAAATGGGTGTATAATGTATGTTTATATCTGTATGTGTACGTGTATGTGTGCGTGTATGTGTGCGTGTGTGTGTGCGTGTGTGTGTGTGTGGGGGGGGGGGGGGGGGGGGGGGGGGTATGCATAGGCTGTATATGATTCTGACAGTATGCAAGTGTGCCCGTTTATGTGTCGACGTGTTTGTGTATGATTGCGTGCGGGTGTGACTATAAATAATTTAATCTCAATGTCAGTGTTAAATTTTGTTGATGGTTCTGTACTACTGAACGGTACAGAGATGAGTGTCAACCAAGCGAAGTGCCTTGTCAAATCGGCCCAGTTTTTCAAGGCGAGGCTGTCAGAACGACCAATGCATCGAGTTTATGTACAGTGTGTTGAGAAGATCAGCAACCCAGCAGAGTCCTTCGCTTGGATGAAGTCGGCTGACCTGAAATGTGAAAGAGCAGGCGTTCTGTTTGCTGCTAAGGTCCAGTCACTTCGCACTCGAAACCGTCATTTTGTGATTTTGCATCGAAACGTAAATATGGAATGTAGATTATGCAGTGAATTAATTGAGACTGTCCAACACATTGTCAGTGGATGCCCCCCTTTGGCACAAACACGGTATCTTAAGCGCCATGATTGTGTAGCTCGCCATGCTTGTGGTTTTGACACAGAGGTCCATGGTACAACCCAGAATATGTAGAGGGCGTCAAGAAAAATGATAAATACAAAATTCTTGGGAATATGCCCGTTTACAGCCTCAGACGTCGTCGGGCCAACACACCTGATCTTGTCCTTTAATCAAAGAAATCATTTGTATCATTGAATTTCTTCTCCCCTTTGACACTGAAATGATTGACAAGATTGAGGAAAATCATGGCAAATATGCGGACCTCGATTTTGAAATGTCACGCTTGCATTCAAAGTACCAAGTTTTCCTACTCCCAATTGTTCTCGGTGCTTTAGGATTGGTACCTCCCAATCTGTTGACTGACATTGGGAGAGTATCCGGGTAAGCTACCAGGAATACAGCCCTTCTGACAATAATCTGGGTAATGCAGAAGGCTCAGTGTTGGGGAGTCTTCACGTTCTCCGAAAAGTTCTGGGTGGGTTCGACTAGACAGCGCTTCCTGGGAGAAGTCCCATTCGCTGTCTGGGCTGCGTGTAGAGGGGCAACGGCCCTGGGCTGATGATGAGCTTAACCAGCCTGTCTTTGCCAGGATCACCCAATCTGTAAATAATAATAATAATAATAATTGTGACAAGGCATGCATTTAGTTTCTAGCATTAAATGCTATTTTTGCCAATCTGCCTCAAAATGTTCAGACCGTCTTATACTTTGTACGAGGGGCTGAGCCGAAATATAATGAGTTGATTGTTTAGTTTCCAACCTCGGTGGACCAATGATAAAGACACAGTTCAGTTGTCTTGATTTGCAGAGGCTTTATTACGCCTGACGATACACCGGGACTCGAGCACAACACATGCGGGCTGCCATCTTTTAGGGATACCCGACCATGCTACTTCCGGCCCGACATTCGCAATACTTCGCATTTCCAACAATCGGAATAACTCGAAAATGAACATACTAACAGTTTTACAACGGCAACATTAAACCCCATCGCTCCCTCCCATAAGTCTTCTCTGTACGAAATGTTTTATATAAATGCTAGAATTCAAATTGTTCTTAAATTATTTCATAAATATACAACACATGTCACATTAAACCAAACGATAAAAAAACACACTCTGAACAAATGCATGTATTTCCAATGCATTACCCTTTGTCCCATAGATCAAATTTATATTCGCCAAAATCTAGCGTGTCAGAATTCGCCTGTGAAAACTATTTCGCAGTGACACATGTCGCAAAGTGATATCACTGTGAGGAGCTATGGTTAGTACAAGGGAGGTTACTCTCATTTGCAACCTAAAATTGAACGATACGCGTACAAAGTTGGATTGTTGCGGATGTAATCATGTTCACTGCTCTGGACTAAGAAATCAATATAGTTTAGACAATATCTTCTTGCAGGCTCTGCAGCTCACCTTGTGCCGACATTAGCTGACAGTACCGTAAGTCCACAGAGACAATTAGGCCTATGCTATGCAATAAGTTGCACGTGTACATTAACTTTGCTAACTCCCATGCGGGATTGTGTTAGTGCAATTAGTGCAATGGTAAGGCCACACCGAACAAATAATCCTTTCTTTGCCGCTATCCAAAAGTGAGGTAAAGACTATGATTAACAAATATTGATTTTTCATTCCAAAAATAAATTAAATTGATTTTGAAATCAAAATGTGTTGATATATTCTGTTGGCAAAATGGAGCATAGCCTAGCTAACTCATGGGATATAGATTTCTACTCTTGAATGATTATATATAATCCTTTTAATTTTAATGCATATTTTCCATTGCTGAACTTAAGAAAATAGAGTTTTGTCTGAAAATCCGAGGTATCAAATGTTCATTATGATACATGTGCCTTTGTTTGTAATCGTAGTTATGTTTATCATTCAATATGGCCTGTTGTCCCGTTGCTTTTTCAACGTTTATGAGGGGGCACGGGTGGCCTAGTGATCTAAGGCGCGGACGATTCGCAGTGTTGCGTCCCTTGGGCACGCCAGAAACCTATGATTGTGGGTTCGAATTCCGGTTCGCCCCAGTTATGTTTCTAGGTTTGTCAGCATCATACCCTGGATCGTGGGTTTCATCGAAGTGGTAAACGTCTGAGAATTGCATCACTTCAGGCTTTCCTCCCACATTAAGCTGACACGCCGTGATATAACTGGAATACTGTTAAAAGCGGCTTTAAACCAAACTCACTCACTCCACGTTTATGATGTGCTATGAATCTAGTATCCTGGATAATCCAGGGTATTATATTGCCATGCTATATGCGATAGATACCCAGGACCTACAGTTTCGTCTCGGAAGTGACGTCACAACACCTACATCGACCCTATCTCAAACTCAGCGCGGATTTTCTAGCGCTCAGGGTGCTTTGTACAAAGTGATCTTAACGCTAAGGTGATCGCTACTCCCATACCTTAACATAAACGTACGACAGTCCTGGCGCTAAGGTTGTTGTGTACAACGGCACCCAGCCAGGGCACTATTCCACAAAGCGATCGTAGCACTAAGACGATCGTAACGCCCATACCTTAACATACACGTACGACAGTCCTGGCGCTAAGGTTGTTGTGTACAACGGCACCCAGGGCACAATTCCACAAAGCGATCGTAGCACTAAGACGATCGTAACGCCCATACCTTAACATACACGTACGACAGTCCTGGCGCTAAGGTTGTTGTGTACAACGGCACCCAGGGCACAATTCCACAAAGCGATCGTAGCACTAAGACGATCGTAACGCCCATACCTTAACATACACGTACGACAGTCCTGGCGCTAAGGTTGTTGTGTACAACGGCACCCAGGGCACAATTCCACAAAGCGATCGTAGCACTAAGACGATCGTAACGCCCATACCTTAACATACACGTACGACAGTCCTGGCGCTAAGGTTGTTGAGTACAACGGCACCCAGCCAGGGCACTATTCCACAATGCGATCGTAGCACTAAGACTAAGAACACCCATACCTTAACATAGACGTACGACAGTCGTAGCGCTAAGATCATATGTGGAAAGTAGGAGAGTATGTTGATTGGACGGATATAGTTTAGTCTCGTGTCTCGTGGCGAATGGGTTCAGGGTACTTATCATAATACATGTCAATCTAGCAGTTATTTACCTTTATTACTGTCTCAATTTCAACGGGGCGGTCGGGTAGCCTAGTGGTTAAAGCGTTCGCGTGTCACGCCGAAGACCCGGGTACAATGTGTGAAGCCCATTTCTGGTGTCCCCCGCCGTGATATTGCTGGAATATTGCTAAAAGCGGTGTAAAACCATACTCACTCACTCACTCACTCAATTTCAACATGAAGTGACAATTCCTAGACCTAGACTGGATCACTGTATTTCTAAAATGCTTTTCAAGCATAATCGCCTTTTACGGCAAGCATGGGTTTTTGAAGACCTATTCTACCCCGGATCTTCACAGGTCGTGGATGCACGTATGTGCGTGTGGCTGTTTGTACTAGTCTAGTCTGGACTAATACCGGTTTTATAGTTCTAGCCAGGGAATGGAACCACCGACATTCCGCTCTCCGGTAAGAGCTCCACGAGGTATATGTAAGCTTATATTAGGACATGGCTCCATTATGACAGGCTCCGCTATCATGCATGATAGCGGAACTTCAAATTAAGACAAGAGATATTATTGGATGAAATGGTCGCGGATGTGGAGGTACTGGTGGGCTGCAGAAATGAGCTTAACCCCTGTTAAGCAACCCCGACTGCAGCAACCGCTGCCCTGCAACAACCGTTGCCAAACAACCCATGTTGCTTACCGATGCAGCATCCGCTGCCCCGCAACTACCGTTGCCAAGCAACCTATGTTGCTTACCAATGCAACGCCCGCTGCCCTGCAACCCATGTTGCTTACCAATGCAGCGCCCGCTGCCCTGCAACTACCGTTGCCAGGCAAGTACCATTGCCAAACCATGAGCGAGGGCAACTATTGTTGCCAAGCTGACCATCCGCTGTAAAGCGGACACTAAGCCATCTGCTGTAAAGCAGAATGGATAAATTAGTTCCTGCTGTAAAGCGGGCAACCCTATCCTAAATAATTTATAATTTAGGATGTATCCAAAGACGCCAAATGTAACTTGTAATGCAGTCCACCACCACCCCGCCACAAGCACCAAGGTGCTTCCCCACAACCACGACCATTCGCGCTCAGGTACACCCACAGTGTTATCCTATACTGAAAATGTTTCCTACAAGCATAGTGCGGAAAGGGAGCTGCCAATGTTTTGTGTGAATAGATCAAGTCCGGCCGGTGACAAATGAACCCCGTCACGCAGGTACAGTTGCTGCTCCTGCCGGTTGAACACTGTGTGGGGAACCCGTATCCCCCCAAGCTCACGGGCCCTGTTCCCCACTCGTCTGTTCAGCTTCTGCCTGGCCCCGTCCAGGTCCCGGGCACGGCTGGCTACATGCCAGTACCTCCGTGGCAGCATGTCTGACCACAGAATGACAGCACCAGGTAAGAGGAGGTGTATCCTCAGGAGTGCCAGCTTGATCTCATGATATAGCTGACACGTGGTTACCTTACCCAGGTCGTTCGAACCAAGGTGAATCACCACTGCCTTTGGTGGTGTCCGCATTGCTTTGACCTGGGCATCTATCAGCTTGGTCAGCTCCTCCCACCTCATGCCGCCCCTTGCCAAGCAGAGACATCCCCCAGGAATACTGAAGTCACTGTCCTGTAGGTGCTCTCTCGCCCGGGTCAGGAAGCTGGACCCAACCAACCATACTGAAAACATGAATCAATAGGAAGAAAACTGTTGGTTGGCGATTTAAATGTTTGCAGGTATGCGTATATAGCTTTTATAACATTCTGACCTCCACCTACCAAAGTGCTGTATCAAATCTGAACTCACTCCGTTACCGGCTGCTGTCGTTGCTGCGCCAATCCTGAAGGAATATGGAGAGTATGCTGCTGTGCAGATGCCGCTATGCGCCAGTGCTCTTTTTAGCAGGCCTGAAATTGATACCTGGTCAGGGGAGATTTATCAAAGTGTACGAAAGCTTGAGTCTGACCCTGTGATCGAACTGTTAGGTATGCTTTAACTGCAGCCACTGGACACAGATTGTGGCCAGGTATGGCGGAAATGGAAACAACTATGCCATGTGACTGCCTGTCCGTTTTTGAATGCCTTAGAGTTACTGTTACTGTCTTAGTTGTGTCTTGGACTTCTAGGTCTAAGAAAGCGCACCCTGGCTGAGAAAGTTTGGTTTGCACGAGTTCACTCACCCGAAAGAAACCAAAGAAGGCCAAGCAATATACTGCTTTGAACAATCTTACTTCATAGGTAGAAGAGCAGACAAATTGCAGGTTGTTTACAATTACTTTGAGCAGGTCTATTGTTATTGGTTTTCTGTGATCCTGCCTCCCCTGACACTTTTGCATCCCGGTAATCATTTTAGTAATAACAAAGTGGCCGGTGCGGTCTTCCATGCTGTGTAGCCTATGGTACGTTGAGATACCGGCCATATACGTCCTTACCGTACTCGGTGCATGTCCTGACACTGACAGGTGAGCAATGAAATGTACCAGATGAGTTATTGGAACCGGCCAGACATCTCCCAGGTTTTGTGATGCCCTGAATGCTTGCAACGCTTGGGTTCCTGCCTGGTAAATTGCCCACGTGTTTGCCGCCAATGATTGCTGAAGGAGCCTCTCGGCCTCGATTGTTAGCCCTGCCAGAGATTGTCTGGAAGTGGTGTGGGATGCAGGTTGGCTGATGGAGCTGCATTGCGGAATCGTTCCCACTAAAATCTCGACAGTGCATCTGCGATAATATTGTCGTGTGTTGTTATATATCTGCAGCCTAATCAGTGACATGATTCTGGGTGCCTTTGAAGACTGTTTATTTATGATTGACACTACAGCTTGGTTATCACAAAAGAAAAGTACTTTCCTGTTAGCAAAGGCTGTCCCCCACAGACAAACTGACAGCACAAACGGAAACAACTCCAGCAGTGTCATGTCACGAGTCGAGCCGTCCTCCACCCACTCACGGGGCCAGAGCCCGTTTGCCCAGTTCCCGTTATAGTATGCGCTGCAGACATGTATTGTCAGCCCACTTTTGATTCTGAAAAACCGACACACCGTTAAATTCCCCCAAGAACCCGAGCCAAACCTCTAGGTCCTCCCGAACTCCCCACGTGATGCGAACACGGTGTACTTGATGACTTACCTTTGTATAGGCATCAATCGGTCTGCGGCAAAACAATCTACCCATGGGTATTGCCCGGCACATGAAATTTAGCTTACCCACCAGAGACTGCAAAGCTTTACGGGTTACTTTGTGCTTACCTGAGGCCAGCATATCGTGTATGATTGCGTTGATATTTACAATCTTTTCCTGTGGTATTCTAACCTGCATCCTGACTGTGTCGATTTCAAGACCTAGGAATGTTAAGCAGGATGCAGGACCTACTGTCTTCTCATGTGCTACGGGTACGCCCAGCTCCTGGAAAGTACTGAGACATGTATCAAGGTTGTCACCACAGTCTTTCGTTTCTGCCTGTGAGAAAATCATCAAGGTAATGCATGAGTTGGCCGTTAGGCAACTTTTGCTGGACACACCATTGCAAAAAGGTGCTGAATTTTTTCAAACACTGAGCATGATATGGAACAGCCAAACGGCAAGCATTTATCAAAGTAGTATTTACCTTGAAAGCACAAGCCTAGCAACTCAAAGTCCTGAGGGTGTACCGACATAATCCTGAAAGCCGATTTCACATCAAATTTGGCAAGTAGAGCATTTGGACCAAGTTGCTGTACCATACTGACAGCCTCGTCGAACCGTGCATATGACACGGAGCATGCTTCGCTGTCTATGTTGTCGTTGATTGATCTGCCTTGAGGATAAGAAAGGTGGTGTATTAAACGAAAATCGTCTGTCCCCAGCAAGGACTGACTCTTACCCGTTTGCTTTTTGAGTACGAGACCGATGGGTGAAACTTGTAGGTTCAGCAGGGGCGGCGTTTCGAAAGGACCTGCCACCCTACCTAATTTTACTTCCTTTTTCAATTTGGCAGCTACTATCTCTTGTAAAATGGGATCCCTGGCTGAGCGTAGATTGTCAGACCAACGACTTATGCGTGCCCCACTATATTCCAGTTGAAAACCTGATTCCAAACCTTGTAATAAATAAATGGCATGGGCATGGTTAGAATGCTTGTACAGTTGCAAATGTCGCTTTAATCTAGTGAGTATGAGTGGAGTTGGGGCCAGTGCCTTTAGCATGGGTTGCCTGTGTGGAGTTAAGTTGTTTGGAGGGTCTACGACCCCCCTTTGCGCGAAAGCAAGAATAGGCGGGATGTTGTTCGTCACAATTGGAACATTTATGAATAAACTTGCATTCTGGCCTGGCGCACCTTGACCTGTTGTAGTCCCAGCATGCGTTGACTGTTAAGTCACGGCCCCTGCTGAAAGGCACTGTAAAGCGTTCAGTCTTATTTTCTTGAACACGGGACATAGTCGGTGTCATGTGCTTCAACCACAATTCACCGTCTATCTTGCCCAAATCCCGAATCGGGTCTCGTGCCATACGGTGTCGGAATTGCTGGTCGTAGTTTGACCAGCCAAAACCCCCGGAGCGGACTGGGGCATTACGGATTGTTTCCATGTATGCCAACATGCCCTGTATGGTGGACTGACAAAAATGTTTTACCACGTAAATGCTCATATATATGTGGAAAGCTGACGTCCATTGACCTATGCTTAGTGCCCTGGCGTTAGCCGGCTTGGCCGGCGAGAATCGCAGATTACCCGACGAATCCATCTGCATCTTAAATGCATCGTTATCGTCATGCGACTGTGCGCCTGGCAACAATGTAGTCAACTCCACAAACTCACCTCTCCATACTCTCTCCCGTACAACTTGACGGACGTGAGCGCTGATAGCATCCGCCTGGAAGGTCAGGGAATCCCCTGGTTGACCCCGCTCCTGACTCTGCACGTGGTGTGACGTCAAGGGAAACTCCCGGCTCGCCCAAGTGTGCACTGCTAAATGACAACACATCGGGATTTCTTGACACCACCGACCCCGTTACCCCCAGATCATTTGTACTTACCCCTCGCATGCCAGTAAAGCTCTGAGGAGTATCTTGGGCCATCCGTTTGCCTACCGTATGCTGTTGAGTTGGCTCGATATAGCTAGCATCGACGGAACGGGCGACACTACTTGTTGGGGCTCTTCGATGTCTCCGTGATCGACTCGCGGGAGAACGTTTGAATTGTCCGAATCATCTGCTTCAACTAGTAAGTTAGCAGCTATTTGTACACTTGGCAAGGGGGGTCCGTGCAATGGAGATCTAGCTGATCTCCGTGACTTACCAGTAGCCGATGTCGCTTGCCGGACACTTGGTTCCCTCCTGGCTATTTTCCCGCTCCATACGAGGCGGTGATTTAAGGCGGCCCGTCTTTTTGGTGGCATTCTTAATGGTAATTGCAACGAACTATAGATGAATGCGCGAATATAACTATGTGTTGTACGGCTGAAAGCTGGAGAGCAAGTGCTGCGTGAGCTGATGTCACGCTACAACAGGTCATAGAAAATATAAACAAACGCTCCTTTACCGGACGTGCCTAGAGCGGATCTAGGCCAGAGACGCTGGCACCATGCAAAACGGCACGTAGCCGCACGGAATGAAGGTATTTCGCTGTAATAATATTAGCAACTGTTCCAAGCCTAACATAAAGGCATTTAGTTCTAATCACTAAATGCTATTAACAATGACACACCGCCAGGCAGGCTGATTCAGCGACAACCTACAAAGCAAGACAGTGGTGTCTCCTGGCGAATGGATTCAGGGTACTTTTCATAATACATGTCAATCTAGCAGTTATTTACCTTTATTACTGTGCCAATTTCAAACATGTCGCAAGTGACAATTCCTAGACCTAGACTGGATCACGGTATTTCTAAAATGCTTTTCTCTTCATTTCAGGATACGATGAGACACAAAGTGTATACCGTGCTCTTCCTGCTTGTGTGTAGTATTCTGGTGAGGATCTACTTTGTCAGGGTGACGGGAGTCATGGATAAAACAACCACTGAAGACTATCATAACCACCCACGTGTTGAACTCCTTCAACAGCAAACAACACATTCCCCAAACGTGGCTGTTCAAAGGAAACACATAACGCTGAACTTCCAAGGACGTCTTGGAAACCTCATGTTCGAGTACGCATCTCTCTATGGTATTAGCCGAAAAAATAACCTCACAGCAGTTGTGCCTCGAACTTTATCGTTATTCAATTACTTTAACCTCACAGCAGAAAAGTCTAATAATGTTCAAGCATATTCAACCACATACATCGAAAAGAGAGGATGTGCCTTTGAACCGGAAGCTATGCAGCTCGGGAACGGAAATGACGTCAGACTCGAAGGATATTTTCAGAGCTGGAAATATTTTCAGTTTGTCGAGAAGGAACTTCGTCACATCTTAAAGTGGAAAGAATCTACATTTAGGCAAGCGAATGACGTGTTTCGGAATTTAGTTCAATATAAACAAGATTCCATATACATCGGTGTCCATGTTCGACGAGGGGATATGGTTCACAGTGCTCATATGGTCAATTACGGGTATATATCTGCGGACAAAGGTTACTTGGACAAAGCATTGACCTATTACAGATCTAAATTCAAGAACGTCAGTTTTATTGTCGTTTCCGACGACGTAAAATGGTGCGATGAGAACATTAAAGGTGAAGATGTGCACATTTTGAGAAAAAACAATTCTCCCGAAGTTGACATGGCCATATTGACACTCTGCAACCATACAGTAATTACATCCGGGTCGTTTGGATGGTGGTCAGCTTGGCTGGCAGGAGGTGAGGTTGTGTACTACAAAGGCTACCCACGTCCAGGGTCGAAGCTGTTTGAACTGCTCGTGCCAGATGACTACCGGCCGCCATCTTGGATTGGGATGTAGTGCACTCATCACACTTCTGTGGAACTTACGGATCAGTTTGTGGTTACATGTTCACCAGTCTTTCAACATAAGCTGTTTATTTGACAATGTCCATGTTCATTGAGCGTTATATAGAAGTTGTATAATGCTGAAGGGGTCGTTGTCGGCACGGGTACTACAGATATGTACCCTAGGTACTTTTCGGTATACAGAAATGTACCTTAACCAAAATCAGAATACAGAATGGTACCCAGGACCCAAAACGGCGCACAAGTCCATATTCATCAAACCTAAACCGGTTCATGTTTCTGTTCGGATCTCCTTGCTAATTACGAGTACACGTTGTGAATCTCACTACCTCCAACAGTGTGTATGCTCGTTAGTTTATAGCGCCCTGGATTGCATCGCATTCAACAGTTTCACAGGTCCGATTCAGAAAATGAATAAAATCTCACATGTTCAGAGATATTTAGACGAACGCTTACTGCCATGCTGGATTTTACCGCGGTTTGACTTACAGGAAGTACAGTCTACGCATGCGTGCAAGGAACTAGTTTAACGCACTGCGCAATGGACTTATCCCAGGGTACTGTTCTTTACTCTGATTTTGGTCAAAGGCGACGGCCCCATCAGCATTAATTAGTGACAACAATGATGATCAGCTTCGACATAACACATAGTAGCGACGGATTGTATTCTAAGGGTGCTAGTCAACACGAACGAGACAAAATGATAAAACAATGACCCTTATTCCTGATACGAAATAGAAAGTGATATAGGGGCCGTTTTGACCAAATCTTAAGGTCCGTTTTGGCGCTGGTCAGTTTTGACTAGTATAGGAGTCTTAACAGTCATCAGGTCCCCCTTACAAGTAAAATTCACATAATGTGTTTTCTTGCGTCCGTCGTCGTACCAACCCCCTTGTCCTTGTATCGCAATACTTCCTAGTTCTTTCAAGTGGAAGGTTGCTGTCAGAATTATTTAAATAGGTGTTAGATTTAATTTATTCTTTGCCATGAATTTATATGTTGGGAGAACATGAATACATATCATACAAATAGTTATAACATATAACATAGAAACATAGAAACGGGCTCCGTCCGTCCGTCCGTCCGTCCGTCCGTCCGTCCGTCACGTTTAGTTTCCGGAGCATAACTCAGAAACCGTTAAATATTTTTTCATGCAACTTTGAGGGTCTGTCAAGTACATCATGAACTGGTGCCTTTTGCTATTTAGTAATTTTAGTAATTTTTGCTTTTGTACGTTTCCATGGCAACAAGATGGTCTTAGGTTCTGTGAGGGTAGGGTTCGTTTCCGGAGCATAACTCATAAACCGTTCAATATTTTTTCATGAAACTTTGCAGGTCTGTCAAGTATATGCTGAACTGGTGCCTTTTGCTATTTAGAAATTTTTATTTTTACGTTTCCATGGCAACAAGATGGATTTAGGTTCTGTGAGGGTAGGGTTCGTTTCCGGAGCATAACTCATAAAACCGTTCAATATTTTTTCATGAAACTTTGCAGGTCTGTCAAGTATATGCTGAACTGGTGCCATTTGCTATTTAGAAATTTGACAAATTTTTATTTTTTACGTTTCCATGGCGACAAGATGGTCCACCTCGGTTAAAAAGGGTTTGGGTTTGTTTAGATTTAATTATGTCATAAAGTCTGCAACAGGGGCGGGTGCCACGTTAGTTGTTCTTAAAAAAGTGTCATGTATTCAATTTCAATTTGTTTATTTGATCTGATTTTGCCTTTGCGCGTGTCTCAATTTAATCACTCAGTAACTGGTGTGAGTGATAAATGATTTTACCTTACATTGGTCTCATTGCGCATGTTTTCACCCAGAACGCTCTTGTTCTCACGCTCTGTTTAACACGCACAAAGAAGAAGTGTTGAGGAAAGGTGAAATGTGATTTAACGTGGCGTTCAACATTATTGCACTTACAAAAAGACGTGGATGCACGTTATGTTTTGTTTGTTGTTTAACGCCATACTAGGCAATATTCCAGATATATGACGGCGGTCTGTGAATAATCGAGTCTGAACCACACAATCCAGTAATTGACATCAGGAGAATCGATCCACGCAATTGGGACACGATGACATGAATCAACCAAGTCAGCGAGCCTGACCACCCGATCATGTTAGACGCCTCTTGCGACAAGCATGGGTTGCTGAAGACCCCGGGACCCGTGAAGATTCCGGGATAGAATAGGTCTTCAGCAACCCATGCTTGCCGTAAAAGGCGACTTTGCTTGTCGTAAAAGGCGACTAACGGATCGGATGGTCAGGCTCGCTGACTTGGTTGATGCATGTCATCGATCCCAATTGAGTGGATCGATGATCATGATATTAATCACTGGATTGTCTGGTCCAGACTCGAATATATACAGACCACCGTCATATAGCTGGAATATTGCTGAGTGCGGCGTTAAACAACAAACCAACCAACCAACCAACTACCCCGGATCTTCACGTGTGTGGCTGTTTGTACTGGTCTGGACTAATACCGGTTTTATAGTTCTAGCCAGGGAATCGAACCAACGACATTCCGCTCTCCGGTAAGGGCTCCATGAAGTATATGTAAAGGTAAAAATAACACACCGCCAGGCAGGCTGATCCAACAACAACCTACAAAGCAAGACAGTGGTGCTTTACGGTCATCACTATCACATATCTATTACGGCGGCCAGTAGGACATCGAACCTGGCGCATTCAAACCACTACATCGTCTGGGTCTACACGTTGCAAAAATAGTTCCATTATTTTAAAGGACAAAATTTGGATACAAACTTCAATGCTTATTTTTGGTGTGCTACGCCGGGAACTTTAAGTTTTGCTGAAGGCTACGTAATCCACGATAGCACAGACACCCATGGTTCATGATCAGAGAGATTCGGGGTTTGGGACACGAGAGGATTCAGGAAACTAAGGGAGGCAACTCTGTTGTGACACTGTATCATCCGTGCTGCTTTTACCTATTCTGGAAATAAATTGGTTAGAGTGTAGGTGCCAAGCAACCTATGCCTGTAAGATCTGGTAGTTAGGCTCGGTAACTTGGTTGATTGCATGTTATCGTTTTCCAATTGTGTGGACCGATGCTTATGATGTCAATCACTGGATTCTCTCGCCCAGGCTAGAATACTGCGTTAAACAACAAACGAACAAAGCTTTGTCATCGTGTGGCAAAAGACGATTGGCAGTGTCTATACGTCTACACAGACAAATGCACAGTGACCACAACCAGGAAATCAACAATCGCTTCCTGTACGTAACTTGATATGGTACGATTGTCTCCATTACCTCGGGGAGACGTTATTTTAGGATCTTCCTGTTAGAAAATGTAATTCCCCGAAGACTCATGCCACTCCGTCCCACCGTTCTTAGCCTATGTGTTGTTAAGGCTGTCATGGCGTAACAAGGTCACAGACTCTCTTCGACTGCCACTCTGGTCGTGTCAGCCTTATACAAGTACAAGCTTACGGTTTTATACATGATAATTAAGTGAAGTAACAGACGTACGATACCACCTTCTGACTGAGCAAGGGCGTTGAGGTAGCCTAGTGGTAAAAGCGTTCGCTCATCACGCCGAAGACTGGGGTTCGATTCCCCACATGGGTACAATGTGTGAAGCCCATTTCTGGTGTCCCCTGCCGTGATATTGCTGGAATATTGCTAAAAGCGGCGTAAAATCACACTCACTCACACTGATTAGATAATTTATTCAATCAATGATATGCAATTTCATTTGCATGAACATGAATCAGTTGACTTGACAGTTATGTTGTTTAAATCTAAAATAAAGCTAGTACTCGACATGCGTAACAGGTGGCACGTCGCTTGAAGCTTCAATCGGCAATAATTAATGACACATGACGGATGCCGTCACCAAGGACGGTCTGGTCAACCGGTGACCCATAATCATATGATAATATTATACTTTTCTTGTAGGACGTCAGCGCACCAACTGTGCCAAACGGTAAGGTTTTCCTTTGATGATGTTAATGTTAACTTATATTTCTTTTTGCGTTCAACTTATATAAGTCCTTATCCACATTTTGTAAACATATATACAGAAATGTAGCGGGATGACAATACCTCGGGAAGCAATGGAGAAGTGATCCTTCACTATGTCACTGTAGACTGAATTCCAGTTTCATTAAAATCAGATTAAAGGTACCATACCTCTCAGATATGTCAACCCTCTGGTGAACTTTCTACTCAGCCAATCAACATCGAGGCTTCTGAATTCTCAGTACGAACGGGCAAAACATTTTACACAACCTGTCGTTTCTTACCGCCGTGGCAGCTACACTGTAAATGGTGCATCGAAGGTATATTTGAATTCAGCATGTGTTTTCTGTATGTTCGGATCGAAATTTTCGAATGAAGGAGGAAAGAAAAAAGGAAGCCGAATTGTTTTAGGAGCAAACATCCGATTGGCTCAAGAACGATATTGGGATCCATAGAATAGGTCTTCAGTAACCCATGGCTTTCCTCCCACATTCGGTTTCAGAGGTTTACCACTTTGGTGCAACCCACGATCACGGATATAGTGATGACAAACCTAGAAACATAATCGGGATTCGAACCCACGATTATAGGTTTCTAGCGTGTCCAAGGGACGCAACTTTAGACAGCGAATTGCGGCGCTGAAGACTACTGTCCCGCTACTGTAGGCTATACCAGTCGACCCGCTTACCACGGATGTGGTGAACCTATTTGCTGTCCTTAATCTTTAAAATTGATAAATTGGTACGCGTCCAGAAAGTGACCGGAAAAGCGTAGAGTTTTTCAGCGTAAAATGGACAGAAAAGGATGCTTTTTGCTCCGCCTTGTACAACTGTTAACGGCCAATCAGATGGCCCTGGTCCCCGATGCACGTGATGCCCACGGCTTCCTCTAGTGAGCAGTTGGTTTCGTATTGCTGGAATGCCCTGCTCTAGTATCTGTCGCGGGCAGTGCAGCGAGATTTGCTGATAAGTCAGTTTTAGGATATGTAACCCCTCAATGGAATTCAGACGCGCCAAGAAGTCAAACCAAACCATGTTACCAAGTTTATTGAGATAACATGTCCCTCCGCTATGCACAGTTACTTCTATCAGATATGGGTTGTGTTTTTTTGTAAGTGAAGTTTACACGATATACAGATTTTCAATTGGACGAGAGGTCGGTCTGATGACCGCGAAATTGAAGTTCATAAGTGTATGAACGAGCAGAGACCATATAATAGAGAAAGAGGCAGTTTGGCGTTCATACATTTTTCACGTGACTGTATTCTTAAAATGACGTAAACACTGACTACTTCCACATTCCTGGGGAAACTCTTGTGTATTCCCTAACACGAATTCATACAGAAGCGTTGTTTCTCATCATTTATACCTTTAATATTTAACTTAGAGTCTTAGCATACATTGGGATAAGTCAGAGAGTTTGACTGCATGCCCGTTCAAAGATACCCTCACTACAACCCATCCTAGAGAGAACGAAACGAAGAAAAGCACATCCAAATTGTCGTAGTGACAGTCTACAGCAATCTATGAATGTACCTTAGTATCCATTTGACACATCTTTACAATCACCTTTCAATGATCGACCAATTATTAACAACTTCGGAAATCTCTCCCGTCACGTTTATCGTGTCGGCCATTTTTGGCGTCTTGTACTTGATGTAAATGTATTACGACGCTCTGGCATTGTGATTGTCTTACTGAGATAGTTGTTAACAGACCTTTCTCATCTAATGAGGATATTATTGTAATACATGTCTTGTAAACAAACTAAAACAGATCTTCCTGAAAAGCAATTTGAGCACACATACGCTCATGTGACCTCTCTTTAGGGGGAACTATTTTATTCCGGGTGGCCTATTAAAACGAGTCGTATGTCAAGGCACCATGCGTGTATATGATCTTTTAATATATGTAACAAATACGGTTTGGGACGTGAATACAATACACTGACGCAAGTATATTCCAATCCAATCAACTGGATAATTAAATAATTATGCTTTCTTTACACATTACATAACATCACTACACATAAATTGGACAGATGCAGTAACACACTACGGTGAGCGCATTAAACACCACTTTCAACAGTATTTCAGTTATATCATGGCGTATCAGACGGATGTGCGATAAAAATCCGAAGTGGTTCAGGTCATCCAACGGGTGTTCGCGAAGATGTAAGCGTATCCTGCTACACAGGTGTCACCCGTCACAAACACATGCAAGGACAAGTCAAATGTTCACCTGAACAAAGTACGGAAACACGGGGATGCCAGTCCTCACTATTATTGAGCATGTCAAAAACATGGACGTGTATCAATGATATGTTCCTACAGGTAATACATGTCATACTATTGACGCAGGGCATTATTG